GCGTAATGTCGCAGAATGAGAATCTCAGGGGTGAAATGGAGAAGATGCAGAGCGAGAAGAACAAAGTTATCAACGAGGCCTTAGCAAGGCTCGGGAGTCTTACAGACGAAGCTGATAAGAGTGAGAAGAGAGCAGAAAACGCAACAGAACAACTAGGGGCAGCACAAGTCACCAACACAGAACTAGAAGCAGAGCTAAGGCGACTCAAGGTTCAGTGTGACCAATGGAGGAAAGCAGCTGAAGCCGCTGCTTCCATGATCTCTGGTGGTAACAACAATATAAACAGTCACGGGAAATACGTAGAGAGAACAGGATCGCTAGAGAGTCCGTTGAGGAGGAACGTGAACATGTCGCCATATCTGGATGAAATGGATGACGACTTGTCGCCAAAGAAGAAGAACGGGAGTATGCTAAAGAAGATTGGTGTTTTGCTAAAGAAAAGTCAGAAGTGATAACTGAAGTTTTTAAAGTTCTCTGCCATTGCTGTCTGTAATATTCGATCGTTGTTTTTGCAAGTTTCAATGTGTAGGCATGTTTTTATTGCCAAAACCTGAATTGTGAACTACTTTTGCTTCATTTTATCGACTTAGCTGAAACTCTGATCAACATTTATGAAGCTAATCTTTGTTGTTTCCGATACAAGAACATCACTAGAACACAACAACAGAATAATATAACAAAAATATGTTTATGAACCAGACTGCAAGTGCAAATCAAAGCTATACATGACACAGCACTTGTTCGATCTGGTTTTTTTACCTAAAAGCTTACGGTAATTTAGGAAGTTGCAAGTGATTTCGTTTCATCACCGTGCTACATTATCCTCCTCATTGCTCTTGAGTTGTTCCTCTGCACTGACTTTTGAATACATTTTGTTGGTAAGCTTTGGAGAAGATGCAGAAGCTGGGACAATCAGCCTGGGACTCCTTGAAACAGGACTGACCTTTGCTTTCGGATTTGTGGATTCTTGTATAACAGGAGACCTTGAGGGTTGGGATTTTCCGGACTTGGTTCTACTAGCAGTTGATTCATTTGGGCTACGAGCTCCATGTTTTGCCAAGCCACTAACCGGACCAGTACAGGATCCTGTAGGTGTTCGAAGAACGCTGCTCCTTGCCTGTTAGCCACAAACAAAGATATGTATCAATAAACGAAGAAACAAATTCAATTTTCTTTCCTAGTTCTTTCTCTGTTTGCTTCATAGTTCCGATGTAAAGAATTTCATAAGTTTGAGAACTTACTCCGTCAAAGTAGCCGACTTTTGGTGATGGCACACGGAGTCCTGTTGGTTTCGTCATCGAAGTTGGACGCACCGCGCTGCCACTGAAAACTGAACCACGTTTTGCGCCTTGTTTATCCGGCTTAAGGTCATCTTGAACAGCAGATACATCTTTAGCATTGAGAGGCTTCAAAGTCTTTCTTGTATCATTGCTCGCAGGACCGCTTTCACCAGGGACGGTTATCTTGATACCTTTAGCTATTTTATTAGGTGTCGAAACTCGCGGTGTTTCTGATGACCAGTTAGGTGTTTCTGATGTCCAGTCAACGCTAGAACTAAGACGCGTTACCTTGGAAAAAAGCTTGGACTTGTATGTCCTGGCTGAGAGGGGCTGAACTTTCGGCTGGCCTATATTTCTAGATGCAGCTCTGGATGTTGGTCCATTTGCCAAAGAATGGGACGCTATTCTTAAATTCTGATCTTTCTTCAGCTGTAGCGAATCTAGAGACCTGTTGGAAGCGGTTGGCGAAACACTGGCACAGCTCTCAACTGAAGAGCCAGAAGATGGCGATTCATTCTTGGAGGCAACTGAAAAACGTAAAGCAGATTTGGAAGGCACTTCAAGTTTTGACACTATGGGTCGAGTTCTTCTTGAAATTGGAACTCTAGCTATAGGCTCTTTACCTGTAAGATAACAGCAAGATACAGAAATAAGAAACAGATCATTCGAAGAGATGCAAAGACATATTTAAGAAAGAGAACTGACTAACCCCCAGTTAATTTAATATTCTTTTCTTCTTTAGCTTTGATAACATCTACCGAAGTTCTCTTTGTTTTCCCAAGTCCATTGAGTGGCCTAGAAATGGATGCATTGTGTTCTTTTGCAGCAACAGGCTGTAGAAAATGTATCATAAACAAACAAAATAAGCTTAATATCAGTTTGCATTCATTTAATGGTTTATAGTAAGGTGAGATGTAATGAGTGATTTAGAAGACCAGACTTGAATTCATTAGATGTACTAAGCTCAACATTTTCTACCACCGACAAACCCATTAGTCGCATACTGTCAGATGCTTTAACAAGACAAGCATATATAGAGTCCTTAGTATATACCTGTTTTGTAACCTTCCCTAATCCTTGTGCCCTTATACTTGGCCTTTTACGACTATCATTGGGTTTCATCTGAGAAACAAACAAAACAAAGATATGTTTAATCAGGGAGGAACTGAAAGATCAAACCACAGCCTAAAGTTATTTTGGGACTTACCTTTTCCTGAGAGCCATGGTCGTCTAGCGTACTTAGAGCTACAAAATTTAAACGGGAAATGTTCAGTTTGAGATTAATAAGTGAATAACAGATAACACAAATTATCTATCTTTCAAGCAGATAAAGTGTCAAATACTACTTTCTATAGTAGAGTGCATTATAAACTAAAAACACAGCAGCTGATACATTGGAACAGCTTCATCATCAGCAAGATCAATGGTGACAAAAAGCACAACAAAAAGACTATAAATAAGATCTTCTATTCAATAATAAAACATTCTGCTACCAATTAAGGGTTTAAGCTCTTTCTACACAATAGAAAAATAATCATACATAGATACCAATGCACGTAACCCTTATATATCCACTTAAAAATGCAAAGCTAGTTCCTTTTCCCTCTACCCAATATAAAGAATGCTTACTTGGGCTAGGTAATGCCTCTGTTGCTCCCAATTCCTTACTCTTGTAAGGTGTTGCAGTATCAGATGATATAGCAGACATCTGGATTGACGCTCTTACATGGTCAAACAAAACAAATTCCTGACTGGTTTCCACCGTGCAATCACTTTGCAATGTCGATATGGACTCTGTTGATCTGTTAACATCCTCTTGAATGGTTGGTAAAGCTTTCCTCGCACCGATTTGATTGCTTTCCATCATGCTAGACAATTCATCTGGTTCCAGAACACCTGATTTCAACAACGTCTCTCAGAAAAAAAAACTAAACAATACACACTACTGAATCCATGACCACAGAAAAAAACAGCAAAAAACTTGCCTGCGTTGGTGAAAAAGGCTTTGTCCCAAGCAAGACTTTTGCGCAGATTATACTTCATCATCTTAGGAGGTTCAAGTGATTCATTAGGTTGAAGCACTTCTTCCTTCTTTTCATCACAATTATGTGTATCTCCAAATAAATCAAGACCTCTGTCTTCTTTATCAGTGTCTGAATCCATCATCAAAAGCAAGATGTTAAAACCAATACCATAGAGTTCAGATTCAATGCCAGCTCCCAAATCAAGAAATGAATAACACAAAGCTCAAATCTAAAACCTATCTTCCAATAAGAAATGTAATTAACAAAACAAAACAAAATCACAAACGCACGAACAATCTATATAATCCAGGAATGCGAATTTAACGAAATTCCAGAATCACCTTAACGAGAATCAAAACTGATGAATTGGAGGAAACCCTAATGGGTAAAGAGATTGAAATTTTACCTGAAAATTCGTAGCTGGTGGGATCGAGATCCGAGGAGAAGAGGAGGAGGCTATCATCTTCATCAATCAGACTAAGCCCACCGATATCGAGCTCGAATCTCCAGTTCTCGTCGTCTTCCATATGAACAGAGATTCGAACGAAAAATCGATAAAGAAACCTTAATCGCTCGAAGATTCCTTACGCATTCGGATTCGCA